ATTGTTCAGAAGAAGTAGAAACAATGCAAGTGGTTCATGGAACCTAAGAATAATGATCTCATTTTGCTATAAATTACCAACCTGGTGTGTGAATGGTTCCGACTATAACCAGCCAGAGAATTGCAAATCGAGGAAAGTTCTCGATCGTATTTTGTTTGCAAAATGGGCCAAGTAGACAGATCATGAGTTCTTCTCAGTTGATTCCTTGTTCAAGTAGTATTCTTTAATTTTTTTTTCAGGGAGATGATTCCAGCTGTAGAGACAGCGAGTCAAACTCAAAAGGTATTTTGAAAAATTCGCTACAAAGGAAAACATCAGGATCTGGCATATATTTAAGCAACAGTGGATTTTTTCCGTGTTTACATAGCCTCATTGAAACACTTGGGGGTTAGCAGAATTCGAGACGCAGTCGAGGGGCTGTATAACTGTCGAGAATTCTCCCAACCGCGCAAGTGCTTAGATGGGGCTATATAAACGCAGGAAAAGTCCTCTTTTGCTTATTAAAAAATAGCCCAAAGAAAATACGGGCGCTGATTGGTTAGAAATCGTGTTTCTATTTAATACTTAGATTATGAGCTCGAGAAATCTATCGCGTGATAGTTAACGTCACGCATAGAAATCGAGAGCGAATAATGTAATTATTTTAGTATAAATCTACTAGTCGTTAAAAACTTCATCTTTATCTAAAATCGTGAAAGTTTGATAGAACTCGAGAAAGCTGTGGGGAAACTCGCCGGTCGGCTCGTGTTCCCACGGCATTTTTTCGCTCTCCTAAACTTCCACTCGTATTTCTATAACTCAATAGAAACATGGAACATGTTTTCTGTTTCTTAAATAATAAATATTTAATGTCACAACCGTGTTTACATACTCTCATCTAAACGCACCTATTTGCCAATGAGAGCGCGCATACCACCCTAAATATTTTTTAAATATGCAATAGAAATAGTATTACAGGGTTTCACATATAACTGTAAGCAAAGAGTACCATTCCAAACAGTTACGGAGAAACCAAAATAGCCGGCTAAGACTCTTTTTATTTGCCAGAAGAAAACTTCAGCCTAACTTTCAAAAAGCTCCTCTACACTTGTGCGTAAATTTACCCACAAAATACAAGTCATACGAACAACTTAAAACACGCTAGTTACGCAAAGAGCGGATAACTATACCTGTTTTTTATCACTGTCTTTTAATCACACCAATTTTGAAAGTCAACCCTCAGTTATTAAGCGACTACGTTTAGCTCTGCCATCCACCATAACTACGGCAATAAGCAAAGGGAGCTTGACAGAAACGAAGCTAAGAATATGGACTGAAACCTTGAGTTCCAATCACAACCTTCGAACGTGGTCTTTTGGACCTGCTGAAATTAACTTGTTTGTTTCTTGAAACGTTCGATAAATGACAACATGAAACGCAGCTACTAATTTCCCCCTCCCCTCCCCCCCACGGCGAACTTTCAGCTTTAAACCCCGTCCACACGTATCCGGATATTTTTGAATCCGCAACTTTTTCTTTCCGGATTAAAACATTTCCTCGTCCTCAGGTAGCGTATTCAAATCGAATTCGCCTGTCCACACGCACCCGATGGTATCCGGATTCACTTTAGAGAAACTAGGCCTAAACGTTGTGCCGCCATATTGTTTTATTGTTTGGTGAGAGACCGGACACGAATTTGCTACGTCATCGGATTCGAAAATATCCGGATTCACCATCCACACGTTATCGGATTCGTTGCGGATTTATTTTTTTC